AAAGTGGTACCGAATTCATACCTTCCACTTGAGTGTACCCTTGAGCCACTAACCTTGGTTTGTTGCGACTGACTCTTCCATCTTCATGCATTATCTTGAGATAGTACTCATCATTCAAACCCTCGTGCATCTTAATAGATTCATCATGCGAAATAAAGCACATAAACCTAGTCATATCTTGATAATTTAATCGAGGTTTGTCCCTTACCTGTCGTGGGTCATTCACACTTCCACTCACATCATTAGCTAGGTAGTTTCGACGAACAGAGGGCTCAAGATCACTTTTCATATCCTCTTTTAGCACTTCAGAATTCTGAGATGAAGTGAGATGTACCTGGTCAAGATCTGAGTGATCACTGACTAGTTCTCGAAGTATATCAGATATCTCGTAAACTTTCCCTCTACTTTGATGCCATAACTCTGTCCTCGATTGATCATCCCAAGTATAACAGTTACTCAGGTGTTCGCTTTCCTGTCAACACACACTCATTCAATGAGTTAGTGACTAAACATACATCTTTAGTTAAGTGTACCTGAAGTCCAGAGTCACAAAGTTGACTTATGCTAATGAGATTCGCCTTGAGTCCTTCAACCACATTCACATCAGTGAGGGTAGGCAGTCTAGATGAGTCCAACATTCCTTTTCCAATGATCTTTCCTTTTCGTCCATAGCCAAATGTAACATTGTCACCCGTGTTGCTTCCTTCAAAAGTAGAGAGTCGACTCATGTTGTAACGACCCGAGGCCGCTACGGAATGATAGAGCTGTCCCCACACATCAACACGAGACCTTTTAGCGTGTTTTGTCCTCACTTGCACACTTACCGGAAAGTACTTCCCAGGAGGTCACCCATCCTAAGACTACTCCAAGGCCAGCACGCTTAACTTTGGAGTTCTCTCGAGATGGGCAACCGAAAAGGTAGATGCATCTTGTTGCTATGAGTAGCTCAATTAATTCATTTAAGTTATCTTAGACTGTGTAGTCCTATACCTACACAACCCTCGGATCCCTCTCATTCTGGTGCGTTCGATTCATCCCTGTACCCCCTACCCAGAAGCTCGTCAGGAGCCGCCCCTTGTCCATGCCTCTCGCACCGGCGATCACTCCCCGCCCTCCTACGGTATCCTGGGTTTTGTCCATGCCTCTCGCACCGGCGATCATTCCTCGCCCTCCTACGGTATCCTGGGTTGTCACAGGCCCACCAGCTTCCGCCTGGTTCGTCCTCGAACCACACCGTACTGGGAGAGAACCGGCTCTGATACCATTTGTAACGACCCGAGGCCGCTACGGAATGATAGAGTTGTCCCCACACACCAACACGAGACCTTTTAGCGTGTTTTGTCCTCACTTGCACACTTCCCGGAAATTACTTCCCAGGAGATCACCCATCCTAAGACTACTCCAAGGCCAGCACGCTTAACTTTGGAGTTCTCTCGAGATGGGCAACCGAAAAGGTAGATGCATCTTGTTGCTATGAGTAGCTCAATTAATTCATTTAAGTTATCTTAGACTGTGTAGTCTCATACCTACACATCCCTCGGATCCCTCTCATTCTGGTGCATTCGATTCATCCTGTACCCCTACCCAGAAGCTCGTCAGGAGCCGCCCCTTGTCCATGCCTCTCGCACCGGCGATCACTCCTCGCCCTCCTACGGTATCCTGGGTTGTCACACATGTCACCAGTCATGTGTTGCGAGCATCCACTGTCGAAATACCACTGACTTTCTCTTGAATTCAGCTCTGATGTATAAGCAATATTGCACGTGTTGATATCTTTCCTCCTCCAGACTTGTCTCCATCTTGGTGCAAGTGGTACCTGATTTCTCCTCCAGTAGCAGTTCACTCTGATATGTCCTCTTTTGCCACAATGAAAACAACTTCTGTGCTCACGATACTGCTTTATCGGATGAAGATCAACCTTGATTCTTGAAGTATTTTTTACCGGAACAATATTCTCATCTCCAAGCTTTCCCCCAGAAACAAAGTTTCCTACTTTGTTAATACTTCCTCCAGTGTATCCTAGGCCAGCATGCCCAGAATCAGTTCGCCCAATTCTGAGTAGATGATCAAGCTTTCATGTACCACTTCCGAGCATCCTTACTTTTTTCATAGTCTAATCCAACTGACTTTGTAGTAAGGTGATCTTTTCTTCTTTTTCTTTCAGCTGCTTCTTTAGATCAATGATAATTGAATCTTTCTCCTTTTGTTCTTTGATCAGCTGTTTCCTCAAGTCAGTGAGTGTTGACTCACTCTGTTTTTGTTCCTTGATCAACTTCATGTTGATATCGTAGAGCTTTGTCATCTCTTTATACAGATCTTCTTCACTAACATCCTCTTCTTTTTCTTCACATTCTTCTATGTCACCAAAGAACGCAATAAAATTTGAGCGTTATTCTCCTTCATCTTCGTTAGATTCAGTTTCTAAATCTTTGTGAGTGAGTGACGATTTTCCTTTTCCAGCAGCACACTCATTCTTCATATGACCATATCCTTTGCACTCATAACATTGAAGATCCTTTAGATTCTTCAACATTGCTTCCCTCTTAGCAATGCCAGGACACTCAGCTTTCCAGTGACCAACTCCCTTGCATTCGAGACACTTTCCAGTGTTTCTTGGCTCAAGTTTTCCAGCGGTCACTGACTTTTTCTTGAAAAACTTGTTGAACTTTTTGACAATCATCGCCATGTCCTCCTCCAGTGATACTTGACCTTTAGTGTCAGTTACCTCTGGGACATGGAACGCCAAATTTTTGTTGGAGGTTACCACTCCGTTTGGCTTATCATACATCTCCAATTCTAACTCATGAGCAGCGAATGCACCAATTGTTTCTTTGAAACTAACAGTATCCACATTGTTCACCATAGTAAATGCCGATTTATGAGAAAGAAACTTTTTAGGTAAACTTACTAGGAGTTTTGCCACGAGTTGTTTGTCTCGATAGGTCTTTCCAAGGACCTCTGCTTCGTTTGCCAGTGCATTCAGCCTTCCACAGAATTCCTTGACACTCTCGTTTTCACCCATTTGAAGCATGTTGAATTGATGCTTGATTAGATTTCTCCTTGTGCGCTTGACACTTGAGGTTCCTTCATGAATTAATTCAAGTGAATCCCAGACTTCTTTTGCTGACTTACACCCTTGGATCTGCTTGAATTCGTCTTTATCAACAGTGTTGAAGATGATGGTTATCGCCTTTGAATTCAATGCCGATGCTCTCTTCTCTTGCGTTGTCCATTTAGATCTGGGCTTCAGAATTTCCTCCCCATCAACCACGTGAGTTGGAGCACTCCATCCTTCTTCCACCGAACTCCAAGCATCTTCATCAATCCCTTTGATGAGATTCATTGCCTTAACTTTCCAGAAACTGTTATTCTCCGAATCGAGAATCGTGGACATCCCAAGAGCGTGAAACCCTTTGATCGAGTCCATGTTGTGTCTTCCACACTTGCACCGATATGAGATGATAAGTTCCTACGATCGGTAACCAGGCTCTGATACCAATTGAAAAAGTTTGGACCCTCAAAGAGTAAAGGAAAAACTAACCAGTTCTATTCACTTGAGCAAAAGTCAAGTACAATTCACTTTTTGTTAGAGCTACTCAACACCCACTCTCACAATGAATTCTACCGATCAAAAACCTTACCAAAACTTAAACGCTCACCAAAGGAATGGAGATTTTTCCATTAGGTCTCCCCCTCAGATCCACGCCCAAACACTCACCAGAGGAAAGAGATTTGTCCAATCGGTCTCTTCCTCAGACGCACACTCACTCAAAAGTGAGTTATCACTCACCAACAAAAAGACTCTCTTTTAGTAAAATATGTTTTGCTCTCCGTGAGAACTGATATGCACTTGCTCTCTCCTTTATATAGGCTCCTCCAGTTCGCCTTAGATCTTCACGAATTGATTTGATAGACTCATCCTTGATTCTCTTTGATTTCATCTTTATCTCCAAGATCTCATCTTTATCTCTTGTTTGACTCTATCTCTTCAGCGTTTGACCTTATCTCCAAGATCTTATCTTTATCTCAAATCTCCTCAAATCTTCTTGGTTTTGATTCTATCTTCATCTCTTCAAGTCAAAACCAAACTTCGTGGCTATATCTCTTCAGATTGCTTTTCCTAAAATCCCTCCAAGTGGTTGTCATTGAGTCCATCTCAATCTATCTTTGACTTTTACTCCAACTCTCCAGATTTACCTCAAAATATTTCGAGTTGTACCTCGCCGGATTTCTCTTCTGAACCTGCATTATCCACTTAACAATCAAAACAACACATGTGCAAATGATTGCACTAACAGAGTCTCCATTTACGCTCACCATCTTTAACTGATAAGTATTATTTTGTACTACACGCGGCAACGCTTTAACATTAGAAAACGGCTCTACGGGTTGGTGGTGGTGGAAACTTGCCCCATGTCATTACATTAGCTTCGAGCACGATTCTCTTTGAAACAGAGGTCATATATCTTCGGCTTTTTCTGCAATGAGGAATTGTTCAAATTTGGTTTAAAAATGTTAATGGGCTCAAGGCTACATACGGGCCATTAGGACATACACTTGGCCCAAATGTTCCTAAGTGTGTGCAGAAAAGAGGCCACTACTTTTAAGTTTCTTCTTCCCTACGAAACCTTAAAGTCAAGAATGAAAATTAAAAAAAAAAAATTGTTTAATTGCATTATTATGATGTTTTACTCTAAAACCGAAAGCTTTCTCGTTGCATCTGCGTAATGTGACCGGAGACTTTTTTCCGTTCAAGTGATGACTGGTTCCACCGTCTTGTTTTAAAGATGTCTCAATTTGCAGTAGAAAATGTGTCGAAATGTTTGTTTACTCATTAGTTCGTTTTCTTCTGGCCCCCTGACATTATCGTACGCTGACTTTTTCGTAATTTGACTTTCCAATGTACATGACATAACATGAGTTCATTCGTATGTAGTAGATTTACGTTTCAGAAACCTCGGCCTGCTCTTTTTTTCCCCCTCTCTGGAAAATAGCTGAAAATGGATCGTTATTGTCACGGATGTTTCTTGGCGCTGACGGCAACTATTTCCATTCTGCATCTTGTCCAAGCTCAGTATCAGCAAGGTGTTCATCTCTCTCTCTCGCTCTCTCTCTCATGTTTTGGTTACTTGAACATGTTTCCATAAACTTGAGATAATATTTCTTGAAAACTCAGTTTTTTCAAGTTTATCTCTCTCATGTCTTGACAGGGTTCATCAGTTTGGATTGCGGCCTACCTGCACATGAGTCTCCATATACGGAACCTTTTACCAATTTGACGTACACATCCGATGCCAGTTTCATCCGCAGTGGAAAAACTGGTAGAATCCAGAAAGAACCGGGCGGTATCTACATGAAGCCGTATACAGTCCTGCGATACTTTCCCGACGGAATACGGAACTGCTATGATCTGAGTATCGTGCAAGACACGAAATATTTGATCTACGCTGTATTCGTATACGGAAACTACGATGGTCGCAATAGTTCTCCGAGATTCGATCTGTATCTTGGCCCCAACCTGTGGAAAACAATAGACTTACAAAGAGGAGACGGTGCGAAGGAGGAGATCATTCACGTCTCAAGGTCGAACTCTTTGAGTATATGTCTGGTTAAGACAGGAACAACTACTCCAATGATCTCAGCTTTGGAGTTACGGCCATTGAGATACGAGACGTATATTTCTCAAGCTGGTTCTTTGAAGACCTTGTTCCGCTTCTATCTCAGCAAAAGCGAGAACTTTCTTCGGTAAATCAACTTATATACGCTTTCTTACTTGGATTAAAACTAAATAACATTTACTATTTCGAATTATACAAAACGGAAATTCAATAACTTGTTACCCAAGAAATAAAAGTTTCCTCTGTTTCCGCTTTGCTCTGTTTCATCCTGACAATGCAAATATTGACTCCGCAGTTTCCTGCAACCAATCCTTTCCTTATTTTTTGTTAAGATTTTGTGTTTTATCCGATCTTTGACATTAAATTGGAGGGAAGTTTTTTAATTCCGGCGCAGACATGAACCTTATATACATATGATTGCTACAGGTATCCTCAGGATGTCCATGACCGTGTCTGGATTCCGTACTTCGAATCGGATTGGACGTTGATAAGTACAACTCTGAATGTAAAGGACTCTGACGGTTATGAACTACCCCGAGCTGCAACGGTGACCGCTGCCACTCCGGCCAACGCTACCGAGCCATTGACCATCATCTGGAGCCTGGATGCCCCCAATGGCCAAGTTCAGGTGTACCTTCACTCTGCAGAGATCCAAGACCTGCGAGCCAACGAAACCAGGGAATTCAGCATTTCGGAGAGCGATAAACTTTATGACGGAAATTATAGTGCGAAAAAGTTGGAAATGGAGACTCAATTCAACTCGTTGCCTGCTAAATGCGACGGAGGGGTATGCCGTCTGAAGCTGGTTAGAACTCAGAGATCGACCCTTCCTCCCTCTTTGAACGCTATCGAAGTTTACTCGGTGATTGAGTTTCCACAGTCGGAAACTGATCAAAACGATGGTATGTGCCAACATACGTACGTTTTCAGACATAAAAACTCGATTCTTTCATTTGTTCAGTCTTGTCGGGTTTTTTTTCCAAACTTTGGCCTCAGTTGCTGCAATAAAGAACATCCAAGCTGCTTATGGATTAGATATCATCGGCTGGCAAGGAGATCCATGCGTCCCTAAGCAGTTCATGTGGGATGGTTTGAACTGCAGCATTCCCGATATTTCTACGCCGCCCAGAATCATTTCTTTGTGAGAAACATTTGGCAAAATATATATGATTGTTAGAACCCAACTCTTTGATCATACCTCAAGAAATGAGTTTCTGTTTGTCTGCAGAGACTTATCTTCCAGAGGATTAAGCGGAACCATAGCACCAAGCATCCAAAATTTAACCAAACTTCAACAACTGTGAGTATCTACACTTCTGAATGAATGCAAGACTTATCTTCCAGAGGATAGAAGGCATTGAGACTTATATATTGGTCTTAGACACCGGCTTTCACATAGCTCTTGAAGGATGTCTTTATGTTCTTGAATGTGCAAGAAATCTTGTTTCTATTGGAAAATTAGACTTGATGGGTTTTTCTGTTAAATTCGGTTCTGGTATTTTTCAATTACATAAACATGAACACATTTTCGGTTCTGGTATTTTAATGGATGGTCTTTATCGCTTTAATCTTGATAGAAAGTTTTCAGAATCCTTGTTTAATGTTGAAAATATTATGGGCGTTAAACGTAGTGCACCTAACAATGAAAGTTCGGCTTTATTGTGGCATCAAAGATTAGGTCATATATCCAAAGAAAGGTTAATAAGATTGGTGAAGAATGAAATTTTACCATCTTTGGATTTTAGTGACTTAGGAGTATGTATAGACTGCATCAAAGGAAAGCAGACAAAACATACTGTAAAGAAAGCGGCCACAAGAAGCACTCAGCTTTTAGAATTAATTCACACTGATATTTGTGGTCCTTTTGATATTTCCACGTGGGGTGGAGAAAGGTACTTTATTACTTTTATCGATGATTACTCACGTTATGGTTATACTTATCTTCTGCATGATAAATCTCAATCTGTGAACATACTTGAAGTGTTCATCAATGAGGTTGAGAGGCAGTTAGAGAAAAAGGTTAAAGTTGTGAGATCTGATAGAGGTGGAGAGTATTATGGAAAATATAATGAGACTGGACAGTGTCCAGGTCCATTTGCGAAATTCCTCGAAAGTAAGGGTATTTGTGCACAATACACAATGCCCGGTACACCGCAACAAAATGGTGTAGCAGAAAGGCGGAATCGTACATTAATGAATATGGTTAGGAGCATGATAAGTAATAGCTCTTTACCTCTCTCATTGTGGATGTATGCATTAAAAACATCAACTTATCTGCTTAATCGTGTTCCTAGCAAAGCAATCCCTAAAACACCTTATGAACTGTGGACAGGAAGGAAACCGAGTTTAAGGCACCTGCATGTTTGGGGTTGCCAAGCAGAAATAAGAATATACAATCCACATGAAAAGAAGCTTGATCCTAGGACAATCAGTGGATTTTTCATTGGTTATCCAGAAAAGTCTAAAGGATTTATATTTTATTGTCCTAACCATAGTACGAGAATTATGGAGACTGGCAATGCAAGGTTCATTGAAAATGGTCAAATCAGTGGGAGTGATGAATCACGAAAAGTTGGCATAGAAGAGATTCGGGATAACGTTTTCACACCGGATATCCCTTCTGTTGTTCTTGTACCGAAATTCACATCAACGTCTCGTGATATTCGAGTACAACAACAGCATGTCGAAAACCCACATAATGAAAGCATTATTAATGAACCAGTCACGGTACCAGAGGAGATTAATGAACCACCGATCATCTTGAGACGATCTGAAAGGGAAAGGAGATCTGCAATCTCAGATGATTATGTGGTTTATTCTCTAGAACATGAATGTGACTTAAGCATTGATAATGATCCGTCTACATTTCAACAAGCCATGAATAGTTGTAATTCTGGAAAATGGTTTGATGCCATGAAAGAAGAATTAAAATCCATGAACGATAATAATGTCTGGGACTTAGTAGATTTACCGGAAGGTGCAAAGAAAGTCGGCTGTAAATGGGTCTTTAAGACCAAGCTTGACTCACGTGGTAACATCGAAAGGTATAAAGCCCGACTTGTTGCCAAAGGTTATACCCAAAAGGAAGGCACAGACTATAAAGAGACTTTCTCTCCGGTTTCTAAGAAAGACTCTTTGAGAATTATATTGGCTTTAGTTGCTCATTATGATTTAGAGCTTCATCAAATGGATGTTAAAACCGCTTTTTTGAATGGTGATCTAGAGGAACAAGTATATATGGATCAGCCTGAAGGATTCATAAAGTTATTCGGGGCAAGTAGCCGTTAAAGTGCTCTCTCAGTCATCAGCTCAAGGCTATAAGCAATTCAAAGCAGAGGTGAACTAACTACATAGACACCATATACATGCCTATACGTTTGATCTGATCTGTCTTTAAACACATGATCGGATTCTACGGTTACATGGTCGGTTGCTTAGGTCGAGCTTCTTCTGAGGGTTCACCACGTAAATTTAGTGAGCCTCGTCGGGTATTGTGATGAAGGAGATCACTTGGCACTCATCTACGAGTACATGGCTAATGGAAACTTGAAAGAGCATATGTCAGGTAAAACATTACTGTTAACAAATATTTTTTAGCCGTTTTCTCATCGAAAGTTTCGAAAGCTTAAGAACTTCACATTCATTTCTTGGATAATACAGGAAAACGTGAAAGCTCTGTTTCGAACTGGCCAACCAGACTAAGAATAGCCTCCGAGGCCGCATTAGGTTCGTGCTATGTCTGGCTGTACCTAAAGGCTTGTTCTTTTTCTTTTCCCCATTCTGATAGCGAACGTCTTCTTAGGGATTCATAATGACGGTTTACATGGGTGAATATTTTATATTCAGGACTGGAATACTTGCATATCGGATGCAAGCCACCAATCATTCATAGAGACGTGAAAAGCGCGAATATATTGCTGGAAGATAACTTCCAGGCCAAACTTGCTGATTTTGGGCTTTCAAGATCTTTTCCGGTCGGAAATGAATCTCATGTTTCGACTGATGTCGTTGGCACTTTAGGATATCTTGATCCTGAGTAAGAATATGCTCATATACCAAATTGTTTTCCTTCTCCAATGGTTGAAGTATCTGAACAGCGTTCCTCCGTTTCTGCTTGCAGATATTTCCAAGCGAATTGGTTAACAGAGAAGAGCGATGTTTATAGTTTTGGGGTTGTGTTATTGGAAATCATTACAAACCGGCACGTGATTAAGCAGGGCCATGAGCTGCCCTATATAGTTGACTGGGTGAGGTTATTGCTTACAAAAGGAGATATCGAGCGCATCGTGGATCAAAGCTTGCGTGGAGATTATGAATCTGGTTCTGCATGGAGAGCTCTTGAACTGGCAATGTCCTGCGTCAATCCGTCTTCGGCAGGAAGACCGAACATGTCTCAGGTCGTCCACGAACTGAAAGAGTCTCTTACGTTGTCTGAAAACATGGGAAACAGAGGGAGTGCCGCCGAACAGAGCATCAACCTTGACTCGGAAATGACTCTCGAGGCACGATAATCTGTCCCCAAGACAAATCCCACTTGTGGCGATTCGTTTGCGAAAAATCCGCAGAAATATGAAATATATGATGTGCGTAGATACATAAATAAATCTTGTTTTCCCGGTTTAGAGAATTACAGTGTTTACAGTTTTAATTGTTTTCACATTAATATCCGTTTTGCAAAGTTATTTTCTTGGGAGAAAAAAGTTAGGTTTTCCAAATATGGATTAAGTCATAATCTAATACGAAGTCAATGTTTGGTACAGCCGTACAGGGCTTACAGCACAGGTTAATATTATTGTGATTATATATATATATATATATATATATATAAATGGCCTCCTTTTATTTGGTCGTCTATATTTCTTTTTAATTCTCAACTTTGTATTAATGTATTTAAACCACTCATGATCCTATATACCAAAGACCTTATGACATGCGGACGCGGCACCGAAAATCTCGTTCCAAGCTTTTATGAAAACCTAATGATTTTGTTGATAAGATTTAGAAGAATACCAAAAATATTTAGGGCAGCGTAGCATTTAGTAGAGCTTTTATCTGAAATATTTATAGATAAACCCTATAAAAAGATATACACTGATAAATATTTTAATTTTTTTTATAATCTAAAAATTTATCGAATCTTTGATTCAATTAAATCACATTGGAAAAGAAGTTGAAATAATTCAAAATTAATTAAAAATACAACCGTGATAAACCTCGTATGAGAGTTGACGTTCCGTTTTCTACATTGTCCAATTCTAAATGTACTTCCAATGCATTGCGCTTTCTATTTTGATCCAATTCTTAATCCGATCTCCATCCGAACCAAGACCCTCTGTATCAGCAAGAGTCTTTTAAAAAAAAACTAACGACTGGATTACAGACGATAATAAATGGATATATATTGACTAATTTATTAAATGGATATATTGCGAATCGCATTACAGACTTGATGATAATCAATGGAATATTCATAAAAAGAGCTCCAAAAAAACCCTTTTTCCCGTTCCAAACAAAAGAGTTTCGATTTCGTAAAAAAAAAATAATAAACCCCTAATTAACTACAGTAACCAATAGGAACTCCACTAAATTATCTTCTTCGGACCCATGCATAGCTTCGGTTTCTTCTTCTCCATCTCGACCGCTACCACTGTGCATGTTACGGAGAATCGCAGTATTCCTCTTCGTACTCGTAACCGCTCTCGATCAACTCAGGCCAGAAAGGCTCGATCATCTTTCCGACCCACGGCTTCACGATTTCCTGTTGGCCAAGCAACGATGTAGATGGCTCTTTCCCGTCGGGAAGTTCTTCCTCGGCCTGGCTCGATAAGTCGCGAGAATCGGTAGTTCCTGTGGAGTCATCGTCCAAATCGGAAAGTTCTTCCTCGGCCTGGCTCGATAAGTCGTAGGAATCGTTAGTTACCGTGGAGTCACCTTCCCAGTCGGGCTCAGAGCACAATGACACGAAGACCTCGAGCCTTGTCGACCGGCGGAACTGGAACAGCGGTTCCATGTTCCATGAGTTCAGATCATTGATTTCTGACATCCATGATCTGTCCTCTTCGCTTAATTCCCTCCAAATAGATGTGCCTGGTCCGACCATGATCACGTCACGTCTCCGAAGAACAGATCAGTAGAACGGGTTAGGGTTTCTGTGGAGAGAGACGAGAAGAGCTTGAGAGTGGAAAAAAAGACGAGTGAGAAGTGTGAGAGGGGATGAATGGCTTGGGGTATATATATAAGCGCCCTTACTACTTATCCCAAGGAAAAAAGGATTTTAGATTTTCCAATTTCAAAAAGGAGTTTATATTTCATTGGGATAAGTTTAGTGCTTAACTAATTAAATTCTTATCGTTTTGTTTATTGATATTATGGGAAATTAATAATTTTTTAAAAAAAAAGTAGGAAGAAATTGTTGGGCCTTGAAGTCCAATTCCTCATCTATAATTTAATATTGGGCCGAAAATTAATATTAGGCCCAACAATTATCACAAAACCCCTTCGGCCCCCATTTAATATTTGCGTATTGGCTTTTAGACCATGAGATTTGTGATTTAATTATAAAATAAATGATGGCTGCAAAACGTGTATGTATTTTGTTGTAGATCAGGTGCGTATGTTATCTTGTACACGGCGTCGTTTCGTGGTTTCATTTATAACTTTTTTTTTATAGATATTTGTATACAATCTTTCACACAAGACACTAGAATATGAAATAATTATAAATAGAATTTGAAATAATTCAAGCTTGTTTGCAACACAATCGAATCGATCTACGTGTAATAACCTCAAAGTAAAGGGCTGTTTTATTAAATGTAAATATTGCTAAATCTCATTACTTACTTGATAATCAACGGAATATATCTACGACTGCATATAGTCGTGCTACATGTGCCAAAAGAAAACAAAGCATTATTGTTAAGATCTTGGGCATCAATCGAGAATTTCTGGGATTTAGAAGACAAACATGTTTAGAAAGAAAAAACAAAAGCTTGGGAAAGTGATCTGATGCTCCGTTTACAAGAACAGGGGAGAATTTTTTAAAATAATGAAAGGGAAATTTCGTTTCATTGGATTATTATTATGCATCCTTCACTCTAATTTGATAGATTTCTCGCTTCACTCATATGCCATCGGAGACTTTTTCCATCGCCTTGCATTACAGATTTCGCAACTTGAGGGGTCGGTCCCAGGGCCGTCTAATGGGTGGTAGGGCTGGGCACAAATACCCGAAAATCGGGTATCCGTCGGATACTCGTCTTACGGATACCTGATTTTAGGGTACTCGTAATTTTCAAATCCGAATCCAAATCCTGATTTTTCAATACCCGTGAATCCGGATCCAAATCCGGATAATAGAATTTTTAAAACCGGATATCCGCGGGTACCCGCGTATTATGATTATAAATAATTATATCTTATATTTATATAACATTTTTATAAAATACAATTATTTTAGATGAAATAATTTCATATTTTTTTAATATTAATTCAAAAAATTAAATTTATTATTATTTGTCTCTTATTATCTCTTTTGTCTTATATATTTTATCATAATTCATCAATTTTTATAAATATATCTTCATGTTTTAAAAATTTTATATATGAATATTGTTGTTTTTCTTAAATAAATCCGGATCCGGATATCCGCGAGTACCCGACTATTATTCCGGATACCCGTACCCCGGATACTCGTAAATACCAAATCCCGGATACAAATCTCATAGTTAAATACCCGAGCCTCCCGGATCCGAATCCAAATCTCTCGATTTTCCCGGGTATCCGACCCGTGCCCACCCCTAATGGGTGGTACAATTCGGTGCGACCGTACAGGACCCTAAAATTTGAGGGCCTCAAATTTTTATTTATTTATTATAAAAAATATTTTATATAATTAAATTATGTAATAAATAAATATAAATCTTCAAAAATATAAAATATATATCATTTAATTATAGTTATAATAAAATATTAATCTAATAAAATTTTAAATTATTTACTTGATTTATTTTAAATTTTAGTATTAATAAAAATAAAATTTTAAATTATATATTTTTTATCTAATCTTAAATAAAATATAAATATAACAATATTCAATAATGACGTAAATATTAAAGGGAACTAAATATTATTTGCATACATTACTATTTAATATAATTTATAATTTATCATTTAACTTTAAAATTTTTATCATATAAAATTTAAATTTTAAATTAAATATTCTATACAGCTAAAATCATTGAGACGCTCTGGTCGGTCCATGTGCAGTAGAAAATGCCTTCAAATGTTTATTTACTCGTTACCGTCGTTTTCTGTTGGCGCCTTATAGTTTCTGAGGTTGACTTCTCGAGCTTTGACTTTCAATTTACATTCTCGAGTCAATTCATTTTTAGTTCATGGTAAAAAAAAAAAAAATCTACTCAACTGTTTTCCTATGTCATATTATTATAATTTAATCTTTAGTTTAACGCAATTTAGAGAATCCTTGGGTTATAACCTGCAGCTCCAGATTCTGCTCGAATATTCTTTTTAGGCCAGCAATGTTTGATAAAGCGAGTTGAACATACATACATACATACATACACACATACATACATACACACACATCACATATATGAGATACACAATAGGAGACTATTTCAAAGAGGTTGCTTGTTCATGTCTTCTAACATTAAACTTTCCCAACTTGATTATTTTGTCCATTTCCAGTTGAAATTTCCGGTCCTCTGTTTATTCACGGGTTCGTTTCCTCTGGTAACATCTTCAGAAGCAGACGTGGAGACCTTTCACAACACACCCGACATCCAGCCCATGATGAGGAGCTGATCCTTTTTAAGTTTACTTTGAGTTAATGTTGTTGTCTTGATTACTTTGGGAAATACACCGAAAATGAAGGGTCTTGTACGGCTTTTCTGGGCATTAATGGTGGGAACTTTCGCCATTACACATCTTGTCCAACCTCAAGATCAACTGGGTATTACTTGTACACCCATCTTCGCCTTACAGAGCATTTCTTGAAGATGAACTTTTTTTTCACAATTTTTTTTTGTTGACAGGATTCATCAGTTTGGATTGCGGGTTGCCTGCAAATGAGTCTCCATATACAGAACCTTTTACCAATTTGACATACACATCCGATGCCGGTTTCATCCGCAGTGGAAAAACTGGAAGAATCCAGAAAGATCCCGGGAGTAACTACATGAAGCCGTATACCGTTCTGAGATACTTTCCGGATGGAATACGGAACTGCTACGATCTGAGTGTCAGACAGGACACAAAGTATCTGATCAACACCTTGTTCGTGTACGGGAATTACGACGGTCGTAATAGTCCTCCAAGATTCGATCTTTACTTAGGCCCCAATTTCTGGGCGACTGTGGATTTGCAGAGAGGATATGGCAAGGAAGAGATCGTTCACGTCCCGAGGACGAATACTTTGGGCATATGTCTCGTCAAGACAGGAACAACGCTCCCGCTGATATCTGCAATAGAGTTACGGCCACTGAAATACGGTACTTATGTCTCTCAGACCGGATCCTTGAAGAGCTTATTCCGACAGTTTTTTAGCACAAGGAATCGCGGTATACGGTAACTCATCTTGCCCTGGACTGAATGGAAGCTTTACACTTTTCTCGATCTCGCCATTACTACTCATCTACGGCCAAAACGCCATTGTTGCAGGTTTCCTGATGATGTCCATGATCGAGATTGGTTTCCATATTTTGAAGACGACTGGACAGAGATAAGCACCAATCAGAGTGTGAAAGACGCCGATGGTTATGAACCTCCGCGAGACGCGGTCATAACAGCTGCCACACCGGCTAATGCCAGTGAACCATTGATCGTCTATTGGCCTTTGGAGTCCCCCGATGACCAAGTTGTCGTGTTCATTCACTTTGCTGAGATCCAATCGCTAAAGGCAAATGAAATCAGGGAGTTCAACATTTTGGCCAATGGAAAAATCGATTATGGCACATATAGTCCTAACAAGTTTGAAGTAGAGACTCTGTCAAACCCGGTTCCATTGAAATGTGACGGAGGGGAATGCCGTTTGCTGCTTCTTAGGACACAGAGGTCTACCCTACCACCCTTGATTAATGCTATGGAGATTTTCTCGGTGATTGAGTTTCCACAGTCAGAAACTGATCAAAACGATGGTATGTGCCAACATACGTTTTCAGACATAAAAACTCGATTCTTTCTTATTCTGATTCTCGTCTTTTTTTTTCTTTCAAACTTTGGTCTCAGTTGCTGCAATGAAGAACATCCAAGCTGCTTATGGATTAGACATCATCGGCTGGCAAGGAGATCCATGCGCCCCTAAGCAGTTCATGTGGGATGGTTTGAACTGCAGTATTCCTGATATTTCTACGCCGCCCAGAATCGTTTCTTTGTGAGAAACATTTAGCAAAATACATCATCGTTAGAACCCAACTCTTTGATCATACCTCAAGCAATGGGTTTCTGTTTGTCTGCAGAGACTTATCTTCCAGAGGATTAAGCGGAGCCATAGCACCAAGCATCCAAAATTTAACCAAGCTTCAACAACTGTAAGTATCTACACTGCTGAATGAAGGCAAAGTTTTTCTTCCGAGTTGAATCATCGGGTGACCCTTTTTCGGTTTTACATATTTATAGCGACTTGTCAAATAACAATTTGACTGGAGGAGTTCCGGAGTTTCTGGCCAACATTAAGTCATTGTTGGTCATGTAAGTTTTTTCCCGAAAAGTTCTTTATACACCTTCTTCATTTCTTGGGATATTGCCGTTTGTTCTTATGATGAACTATGTTATTGCCTTCGCAGAAACTTGAGCGGAAACAATCTCACCGGTTCAGTTCCTCAGATCCTTCTTGATAGAGTAAAGGAAGGGCTGAAGTTAAAGTGAGATGATCTTTGCTAATCTTCTCTCGTTTCTATTCCAAATCCTCTCTGCAATTACTGCTTTACTAATACATGTATATGCTTTAGTGTTCAAGGAAACCAAAAGCTTTGCGATTCCTCGTGCAAAAAGAAATTCCCAGTCGCCGTTGCTGCATCAGTTCCTACAGTGGCCATTATAATAATTGTATCGGTTATCGCTTTCGTTTTCAGCAAGAGAAAGAGAAAGACTTCCAATGATAAAGGTGCATATCATCAGGAGAAAGATGTCATATTATGCGGGTATCTACAGAGGAATAGAAACTTCTCAATCAGTAAGCATAGGAACATATCAAAACCATTAAATCCTCATGGAACTCGGCTGGCTTTTTGGTTTAACAGATGAACATGCATCACTGGGAAGAAGAAATAGAAGATTTACTTATTCAGAGGTGACATCGATGACCAATAACTTTGAAAGAGTGCTTGGGAAAGGAGGGTTTGGTGTTGTCAATCATGGGTTTCTGAATGATTCCGAACAAGTAGCCGTTAAAGTTCTTTCTCAGACATCAGCTCAAGGCTATAAGCAATTCAAAGCAGAGGTGAACTAACTCCACAGAGGCCATATATATATCTATCTATGTTAGGACAGAACTGATATGTCTTTAAACACATGATCGAATTCTACGGTTACATGGTCGGTTGCTTAGGTCGAGCTTCTTCTGAGAGTTCACCACGTAAATCTAGTAAGCCTCGTCGGGTATTGCAATGAAGGAGATCACTTGGCACTCATCTATGAGTACATGGCTAATGGGAACTTACAAGAACATATGTCAGGTAAAGATTACTGTAATAGTTTTTTTTAGCCGTTTTCAGATCGAAAGAATCGAAAGCTTAAGAACTTCACATTCATTTCTTGGATAATACAGGAAAACGTGAAAGCTCTGTTTCAAACTGGGCAACCAGACTAAGAATAGCTGCTGAGGCCGCACTGGGTTCGTGCTATGTTCTGATAGCTAACGTCGTATTAAAAAATTATAATGACGATTTAAATCGAAGAATCTTTTTATATGTAGGGTTGGAGTACTTGCATATCGGATGCAAGCCACCGATCATTCATAGAGACGTGAAAAGCGCGAATATATTGCTGGACGAGAACTTCCAGGCCAAACTTGCTGATTTTGGGCTTTCAAGATCTTTCCCGGTCGGAAGTGAAACTCATGTTTCCACTGATGTCGTTGGCACTTTCGGATATCTTGATCCCGAGTAAGTATATGTTCATATACAAAAATTGTGTTCCTTCTCCCGTGGTTAAAGTATCTGAACAACGTTCCTCCTTTTCTGCTTGTAGATATTTCCAAGCAAAATGGTTAACAGAGAAGAGCGATGTGTATAGTTTCGGGATTGTATTGTTGGAAATTATTACAAACCGGCCCGTGATTAAGCATGGTGATGATCTGCCCTACATAGTTGAGTGGGTGAGGTCACTGCTTACAGAAGGAGATATCGAGCGCATCGTGGATCAAAGCCTGCGTGGAGATTATGAACCTGGTTCTGCATGGAGAGCTCTTGAACTGGCAATGTCCTGCGTCAATCCATCTTCGGCAGGAAGACCGAACATGTCGCAGGTCGTTCATGAACTGAAAGAGGAAACAGAGGGAGTACCGTCGAACAGAGCATCAACCTTGACTCGGAAATGACTCCCACGGCTCGATAGTTTGTTCCCGGGACAAATCCCACTTGTGGCGATTCGTTTGCTCCGCAGAGATATCGGGTTTACAGATGGTGTGATTGTTTCACGACATTAGTGGATCAACTTGTTTGTCAGTGAATGCGGAACAGAGCGTTACACATACCATATAGTTCGTGATACAAATGGGCGGACCCATTTACCAAATAATGGGGTCACATGCCCCCACTCTCAAATTTAAAAAAAAAAATCTAATTTCATTACAAATTTTATAAAATTTTGATTAATAACATTAACTGCCCCATAATAAAATTAAATTTATTCTTACTATGGCCCCAATCATAAACGTTTCTAGATCCGCCAATGGTGATACATGTGCTAAAAGAAAACAATGCATTATTATTAAGCTCTTGGGCATCGAACATCGATCGATAATTTCTGGGATTTAGAAAAAAAGAAAGCTTGAGAAGGTGATATGAGCTCCGTTTACAAGAACATGGGAGAATTTTTTCGTGGTTATAAAAATGTGTGCAACTCCGCCCATTTGGTTTTAAAATAATGCCTCCACGACATTAAATTAAAGATAATGTTTTCGTGATCACCATTATGAAAGGGAATTTTCGTTTAATTGAATTATTATTATGCATCCTTTAATCCAATTTGATAGTCTCATATGTCATCTGAGGCTCTTTCCATCGCCTTGCATTAAAGATTTGGCAATTTGAGGGGTCGGTCCATTTGCAGTAGAAAATGCCTTCAAATGTTTTATTTACTCGTCACTTTCAGCGGTTGACTTTTCCAGCTTTGACTTTCATTTTACATACCCGAGTCAATTCATATTAGTTCATGGTAAAAAAAAAAAAAAGAATCTACTTTACTGTTTATAATTTAATTTTTAGTTTAACAGAATTTAGAGAATCTGCAGCTCCAATGTATCAAGATAAATAGCGAGTTGAACAAAGCACACATACATACATACATACATACATACATACATACATACATACATACATACATACATGCATGAGATACAAATAGGAAACTATTTCAAAGAGGTTGCTTGTTCACGTCTCCAACATTAAAACTTTCCCAACTTGATTATTTTGTCCATTTCCAGTTGAAATGTTCGTTCCTCTGTTTTATTCATTAGGTTCGTTTCCTCCGGTAACGTCTTCAGAAGCAGACGTGAAGGCGCCTTCCACAACACATCCAATATAAAAGCCCACGAGGAGTTGATCTTGTTTAAGTCTACTTCGAATGTGTTTGTCTTGGGAAACACAGTACCGAAAATGAAGGGTCTTGTACGGCTTTTCTGGGCATTAATGGCGGGAACCTGCGCCATTACACATCTGGTCCAAGCTCAAGATCAACAGGGTATTACTTGTGCCCATCTTCGCCTTACAGAGAATTTCTTGAAGATGAACCTTTCTTTTCACAATTTTTCTTTTTTGTGTTGACAGGATTCATCAATTTGGATTGCGGGTTACCACCAAATGAGTCTCCATACACGGAAACTTTTACCGGTTTAACGTACACATCAGATGCCGGTTTCATCCGCAGCGGAAAAACCGGTAGGATCCAGAAAGATTTCGGAGGAAACATCCTGAAACCGTACACAGTTCTGAGATACTTTCCCGACGGGGTACGGAACTGCTACGACCTGAGTGTCGTGCAAGACACGAATTATTTGATCTACGCTGTATTCGTATACGGAAACTACGATGGTCGAAACAGTTCTCCGAGATTCGATCTATATCTCGGCCCCAACCTGTGGACAACAATAGACTTGCAGAGAGGAGACAGTGTGAGGGAGGAGATCATTCACGTCTCAAGGTCGAACTCTTTGAGTATATGTCTGGTTAAGACAGGGACAACTACTCCGATGATCTCAGCTTTGGAGTTACGGCCGTTGAGATACGATACGTATGTTTCTCAAGCTGGTTCTTTGAAGACCCTGTTCCGCAACTATCTCAGCCAAACACAGAACTTTCTTCGGTAACTCAACTTTCGCTCCGCTGATTTTTCTGACCAAAAAGAATTGTTCTTCACTAATATACATCCGCCTGCATAACCCTTTAAAAATATTATACAAATATATATATAAAACAAAATGGCGGATTTCTCTTCCTAAGATTTCTTAGTTTGACTAAAACTAAATAGAATTTACTACGGTCGGATATTCGAAACAAAAATCCTATAACTTGTTACCCAAGAAATAAAGTGTCCTCTGTTTCAGCCTGTTCCTGCAAATCTTGGTTCTGCAGTTTTCCGCAACTTATCCTTTCCTTATTTTTCGTTTGAGATTTTGTTTTATGTTCGATCTTTAATATTGAATTGGAGGGAAGTTTATGATCCATACGATTGCTACAGGTATCCTCAGGATGTCCATGATCGTATCTGGTTTCCGTACTCCCAAACGGATTGGACGTTGATAAATACAACTCTGAATGTAAAGGACTCTGACGGTTATGAGCTACCCCGAGCTGCAACGGTGACCGCTGCCACTCCGGCCAATGCTACCGAGCCATTGACCATCATCTGGAGCTTGGATACCCCTGATGACCAAGTTCAAGTGTACCTTCACTTCGCGGAGATCCAAGACCTGCAAGCCAACGAAACCAGGGAATTCAGCATTTCGGAGAGCAACAAACTCTATGAAGAAAATTACAGTCCGAAAAAGTTGGAAATGGAAACTCAATACAACTCGTTGCCCGCTAAATGCGACGGAGGGGTATGCCGTCTGAAGCTGGTTAGAACTCAGAGATCGACCCTTCCTCCCTCTTTGAACGCTATCGAGGTTTTCTCGGTGATCGAGTTTCCGCAGTCGGAAACTGATCAAAACGATGGTATGTGCCAACATACGTTTCCAGACATAAAAACTCGATTCTTTCATATGCCGATTCTTGTCGATTTCTTTATTGAAACTTTGGTCTCAGATGCTGCAATGGAGAACATCCAAGCTGCTTATGGATTAGATATCATCGGCTGGCAAGGAGATCCATGCGTCCCTAAGCAGTTCATGTGGGATGGTTTGAACTGCAGTATTCCCGATATGTCTACGCCACCCAGAATCGTTTCTTTGTAAGATCACTTATCAAGACATCATTGTTAGAACCTATCTCTTTGATCATACCTCAAGCAATGGGTTTCTGTTTGTCTGCAGAGACTTATCTTCCAGAGGATTAAGGGGAACCATAGCACCAAGCATCCAAAATTTAACCAAACTTCAACAACTGTAAGTATCTACACTTATGAATGAATGCAAGGTTTTTCTTCCAAGTAGAATTATTGGGTGAATCGTTTTCGGCTTTACAAATGTGTAGAGACTTGTCAAATAACAATTTGACTGGAAGAGTTCCGGAGTTTCTGGCCAATATGAAGTCATTGTTGGTCATGTAAGTTTTTTTTCGAGATTCACCTTCTTCATTTCTGGGGATATTGCCGTTTGTTCTTATGATGATCTATGTTATTACCTTCACAGAAACTTGAGCGGAAACAATCTCACCGGTTCAGTTCCTCAGGTCCTTCTTGATAGAGAAAAGGAAGGGCTGAAGTTAAAGTGAGATGCTCTTTGATAATCTTCTCATTTATATTCCAAATCCTCTCTGCAATTTTACTGCTTTACTAATACCTGTATATGCTTTAGTGTTCAAGGAAACCAAAAGCTTTGCGTTTCCTCGTGCAAAAAGAAATTCCCGGTCGCGGTTGCTGCGTCAGTTCCTGCAGTGGCCGTTATAATAATTGTATCGGTTATCGCTTTCGTTTTCAGAAAGAGAAAGAGAAAGACTTCCAATGATAAAGGTGCATACGAAAAAGAACAGAACTTATCAATGAGTGGGCATATCAAAAACTTTAAACCCTCATGGAACTCGACCGATGTTTTGTTTACAGCTGAACATTCATTTAAACGATCATCACTTGGTACGAGAAAGAGACGATTTACTTATTCAGAGGTAACGTCGATGACGAAGAACTTTGAAAGGGTGCTTGGGAAAGGAGGGTTTGGTGTTGTCTATTATGGGTTTCTGAATGATGCTGAACAAGTAGCCGTTAAGGTGCTCTCTCAATCATCAGCTCAAGGCTATAAGCAATTCAAAGCAGAGGTGAAATAACTACACAGATACCATGTATGTCTATCTTAGGACAGGTCTGATCTGTCTTTAAACACATGATTGAATCTATGTTTACATGGTCGGTTGTTATAGGTCAAGCTTCTTCTGAGAGTTCATCACGTAAATTTGGTGAGCCTCGTCGGGTATTGCAATGAAGGAGATCACTTGGCACTCATCTACGAGTACATGGCCAATGGGAACTTACAAGAACATATGTCAGGTAAAACGTTACCGTTAAAACAGGTTTTTTAGCCGTTTTCTCATCCAAAGCTTAAGGACTTCACATTCATTTCTTGGATAATACAGGAAAACATGACAGATCTGTTTTGGACTGGCCAACCAGACTAAGAATAGCTTCCGAAGCCGCACTAGGTTCGTGCTACGTTCTGATAGCTAGCGTCATTTTAGGAATTCATAAAGACGGTTTACATGGGTGCATCTTTTTATATTTAGGGTTGGAGTACTTGCATGTTGGATGCAAGCCACCGATCATTCATAGAGACGTGAAAAGTGCGAATATATTGCTGGACGAGAACCTCCAGACCAAGCTTGCCGATTTTGGGCTCTCAAGATCTTTTGCGGTTGGGAATGAATCGTATGTTTCGACTGATGTCGCCGGCACTATAGGATACCTTGATCCCAAGTAAGTATATGCTCATATGTCAAAATGCGTTATTTCTCCAGTGGTTAAAGTATCTGAACAGCGTTCATCCTTTTTTTTTTTTTCTTGCAGGTGTTTTCTAGACAACAGGGTAACAAAGAAGAGCGATGTGTACAGTTTCGGGATTGTGTTATTGGAAATCATTACAAGCCGACCCGTGATTAAGCGTGGCGATGATCTGCCCAACATAGTTGACTGGGTGAGGTCAATGCTTACGGAAGGAGATATCAAGCCCATCGTGGATCAAAGCCTGCGTGGAGATTATGAATCTGGCTCTGCATGGAGAGCTCTTGAACTGGCAATGTCCTGCGTCGATCCGTCTCTGGCAGGAAGGCCGAACATGTCTCAGGTCGTTCGCGAACTGAAAGAG